GACTGCTGCCTATGAAATTGGTAAGTTATGTGTGTGCTCGTGGCTCTATGCTGACGGTACTTCACCATGAGGTCGACTGACATCTGTAACTTTTAAGGCATTTTCACATCTGGTCTGTGATAGTTTTAGAAGTCTGAAGTGTAGTGATAGTGACTGTGTTTGAAATATAAACGAATCCTAAAATTTAAATATTTTGAATTAAATAATTAATTTGGTACAAACACAACAAAAATGCTACAGTACATTGTCTACAGCATAAATGTAAATGCTTCATAAAAAACACAGGAAGATTTCATTATTAGAGTTACAGTGAAGCGATTCTTTAGCTTCGTTAGTTTTAGATTGATTAATGAGAATTTAACAGTGTTTTGTTTTGTTGTTTTACTTACTTCAACTGGGATTATATCTGCTTGTGCATGGACATCAGCGAACACTAGGGGGAAGTAGTTGTTAGAATATTATTTTTCCAGTTCACCATAGTGACCCCTATAGTGAAATGCCCTCTGACCAAATTTATTGCACTCGGACCCAAGCCTAACCTCACGCAGAGTATAACGCGTCCGCGTCACCTGACTCATGTATCTGTTTGTCTAGCTATCCTATAAACATGAAAAATATTTGAGAGCTTTGTGGATTCAAGTTGTTTTTATGTGACATGCTTTTTGGCGGGGCTGTGCAGTATGTACACTTTCCATACTGTAATTTTTTAAATGAACTTGAACAGCAGTTCTCCAAGCACTCTGAAGGTCTTTCAAAGTTTTTCTTTAGTCACTGACTGCTTTTTAACCTTTTTCAGTCCAGTCCATGTGCCTAATCATTTACAGAGTAATAACAAACAACTTGGCAAATAACCTGTTTTAAATTGTCTCTCTGCACTTTGTTATTAGCACCATGGTCACAAAAATAAATCATTTGTTGTTTTTTTTGTTTTTTGTTTTTCATTTTTGTAGCTGAATCTTAGAAAAATTCCATCAAAATGCTTTTAGCTGAAAACATGGCATATGTCAGCATAGCATGCAGTGTGTTCTTAAAAAATATTCAAGGAAACTGGACAAATGGAGGACAAAACAAGACATGGCAGGCTTAAACACCTATCCATGGCAAATGAACAGCATCTGAAAATCATGTCCTTAGGAAATAGGAAAAAAGAGAGGATGCAACAAAGACTTGACACAGAACCCAAGAGTCTCAGTGACATACGAGGACTTTCAGGAAGCCGTTTTTAAGGAAGCAAAACAAGGAGAAAAGGCTGAAGTATGCTAAATTACACAAGAACTGGACTGAACGTCAATGTCAACAAATTTTATGAAGTAATGAATACAAGTTTTATTTCAAATAATTGTCAATGCGTATGGATGAGGTGAGTGTCTACATCTGTAAAGCACGGTGGAGGCTCTGTCATGGTTTGGTGTTGAGAATCTTGATAGAATTATGAGCACAAAAGTACCATCAGATGTTCAAAAATACTATTTCAGAATGTGAAAGGTGGAAAAACAACACTTTCATATGTTCATCTACAGCTTTGCTATAAAGTGATGGTAATCAGCCGGTTCTTGTCTTCATCGAACAGGTGGGGCAATCAGCCTGCTAGCACTCAATGGCCTTTTTGTCCTCATACATCAACACAACCTGTGAGTGAAAAGCACATTTTTTTTGTCTCTTTTACTAGATCAGATTATTTTCAGTAAAATGGGAGACATTTGATCACATAAATCAAAACCACGTGTTGTGTGTTTGCAGAGATTATCCTGATTTCTACAAGAAGTTGTATAATCTACTTGAGCCTTCTGTTTTTCATGTGAAGTACAGAGCACGCTTTTTCCATTTAGCCAATGTCTTCCTTAGCTCCAGGTAAGAATTCAGTCACATATTTCAAAATCCTTTTTTATTCATTTATAAATCAGATTCTGTAAAATGTTGGAACATTTAAAAAAAAGAAAAGAATTCACTGACTTTTGAGTCTCATAAATCGATATTTTATTCACAATAAAACATAGCAAACAGTTTTAAGATTTTCTATGAAAAATATTTAGAATTTAATGGCAGCACATCTCAAAGTTGGGACTGAGGGGAAAAAAGGTTGGAAAAATAAGTGGTATTAAAAAGAAATTGCTGAAGGAATATTTTGTAACTAATTAGGATAACTGGCAACAGGTCAGTAACATGATGGGATATATAAAGAGGATCTTAGAGAGGCAGAGTTTCTCAGAGCAAATTTGCAAAAACAGAGTCTTTAAATTTTACAGCAATTTCAGAATCGTGTTCCTTGACATACAGTTGTAGGCTACAATACATAAAATAAAAAGATTTGGAGAATCTGGAGAAATCTCACGCTGAAGGCAATACTGGATACCCATGATCCTTGAGCCTGTCATGGAAATCCCTGCATGAGCTTAGGTGCAAATCCAGAAATCATTGTCTATGAACATTGTTCACTGTGTCACTCACAATTGCAGGTTAAAGCTCTGTCTTACAAAGAAGAAGTCGTATGTGAACATGATCCAATAAAGCCGCCATCGTCTCTTGGCCAAAGCTCATTTAAAATGGACTGAGGCAAAGTGGAAAACTGTTTTGTTGGACATGGACACCACATCCTCCGGATTACGGAGGAGAGGGACCATTCAGGTTTTT